AACTAAAATAATATGTTTTATAAACTTAGAGGCAATTGCTTTTACTGCATTCTTTAAACTCAAAATCTACTTAACATTGTGCCAGCAAGCTGGTAATTTCTAAAATCTAAGCCAGCAATACAGCTGTCAATATTGTTTTTCAATAAGTGTGGCAGCCCTGCTCACTTGTGCTGAAAGAAAGGAACTTTTAATTAGACATAAAACAAAGTTACAGAGCAACATGTTACAAACTAGTCCAGGATGCTGGACACGGAGTGAGAGGCCTTAACTAATTATGGAGCATCGCTGCATATAGATTAGATCAATATTTTGGATTGAAACCAACTGCCCTACTATGAAAAGTAGAAAGGGAAAATCTATTTAGTACAGTATTATAATGTATGTCCTTAATATGAAATGTGGAAAGGGAAAATTAATTTAGTATAGCACTATTACACTTAAAGAAGACTATTGAAAAATTAATAATCAGCAAAGAGCATGGTATGTACAGCTGAGTGTACGGATAATAGTTTCCAACACTTTCTTTAAAGTAATCATAATTGGATTGCTTGCAGATTTACTTGTCTGTACTAAATGACTCCCAGATACTGACTATAACCTGTGAAGACATTCTCTGCCTAGTCCTCATTTAGGAACAGCTAGTCTGTTGATATTCAGCACACCTTGAGGCACCTAAGTAAAGTGCAAGCACATTAAGCTTACCTAAATGTTGGCTGCTAAAGATGAAGTGCACTTCAGCTGCGGTCATCAAATCTGAACAATTATATCAGACATTTAGGTAAATCACGAGATGTTATCTCCTTCATGGCCAAACATCTTCTGCACCTTATGATACTAAGCACCTCTGCGCTAAAGTGAAATAAATAAGTCATAATAAAACTAGTCAGCTGCTATAGTTAAAGTGGAGCTCCACCCAAAAGGAGAAGTTCCGCTTTAAAGCCTCATCCTCCGCTCCTCATTAAGGACTGGCATCTTTGAGGAGCGGGTACCCGATTTTGACAGTTACTCGCACACACTGCTTCCAGGCAATTGGAAGCAGAAGTTGTCCTCCCTCCCCATAGTCTTCTGGGACACGAGATAGGTCCCAAAAGACTACGGGACCATTCACAAGGTGCAATGCTACTTTCACATGCGCAGTGGGCACCTGGCTGTGAAGCCGCAAGCTGTCACAGCCAGGTGTCCACACTTAAGATGCCGGAGCTGGGGAGAGAGGACGGGGGTGGTGAAACCAGCTGCGCTGAGAACACTGGTGGATCGAGGAACAGGTGAATGGCTGTTTTTAAAAGTCAGCAGCTACAGTTTTGTAGCTGCTGACTTTTATTGTTTTACATCTTGACTGGAGTGGTTGTAAAGGCTCAAGGTTTTTTTTTTACCTTCATCCATTCTAAAACTGTTCTATGTGCAGCAGTGCCCCCAGCTCGCCCTAAAACGTACCTGAGCCCCTTCGAGATCCAGTGATGTGCACGTGAGCCTCAGCTCTCCCGAGACTCCCTCCTCACTGATCAAGACAGCAGCGGTAGCTATTGGCTCCCGCTACTGTCAATCACAGCCAGTGAACCAAGAGGAGACAGCAGGGGTGAGGCAGAGCCACACTTCCTCTGTGAATGGACACACAAGCTGCTTGCTGTGGGGGCACCTGACAGGAAGGAGAGGTCAGTGGGGGACTCGAGAAGAGGAGGATCGGGGGTGCTCTGTGCAAAACCACTGCACAGAGCAGTAAGTATGACATTTTTATTAAAAAAAAAAACCCATGTCTTTAATATCACTTTAGAGGATATGTTTATCTTTGGTAAAGTTACACCCATATTTAGGGTAACATTACCAAAGAGCACCTGCCTGCGCCCCTCTGATCCCCCACTGTGATAGCACCTTCCTACACCCTGTCACAATTTTAAAAAAAGAGCGCAGACATGCGGGGCTCTGCCCACACAGCAGCGCCATTCATTCACAGAGTTCTGTGAATGAAAGAACTACAACTATCATCTTCCATTGCAGTTTGTAGTTCTCAATGAACTGTGTGGGTGTTGGTGAGCTCTCTCATAGTTCATTGATCTTCCTGCTCTCTAGTAACTGTCTGCCTGTACAGAGGGTACAAACAGATCATTATACTGAGACATTGCACCCATGATCTGGAAAAATATGTGCATTTATTCATTTTTTTTTAAAGGTGAACTTTTCCTTTAAATACACTATAGATACCAAAATATTATAAAGATATGCAACTCTCTTGACAAAGCCTCATGTGATGAAACACGTTGGGGGTGGAGCCAGAAACTGCAGGCAGTTTGGCGCTGTGTGATCGTTATAGTCTGTGAGCAGGTTAGAGATGAGCAGATAGCAGATTCCTTAGCTGTTCTCATCCAAAGTAATCTTGTCCATGGTTTAATATATGTCCTCTGTCTATTATACTTTTGGGAGTATATTTTATAATTTATAATAAATGCTTGGTTATAAATGTACTACACTATGTGATGTTCCTTTTTCCTGTGTGATCATCTATCCATCCGCCTGTGATTCTGGAGTTACCATGTGTACAGACAGCGGAGGATCGCCTCTCCTGGTTCTGTCTGGGCTGTGGCTGACCATTTTCCCTGGAGTTATTAAAGCTGTGTTTGCCTATCTTTAACAAGACAGGCATGCACATCTGGTGAGTGCTTTTCCTGTGTGGTGAAGGGAGCACTGCAGATTAAGGTGAACTTTGTTTCATATATTCTTTTGAAGAAGCACTGGGTGATACTTTTAAGAAGTTTCAAGATATATATATATATATATATATATATATATATATATATATATATCTTTTTTGGACACATTACACAGGCAGTCCCTGGGTCACGAATATTTTTACATTTTGGATAGCATAAGGAAGGGCCAACACCCCTTAAATGTTTGTTTTGCTGTTTATCCCCCTGTTCAGAAGATTTCACCTCACTTTCTGTTCCTGTGACAATTGGATTTTGAAAATTTTAGTTTGTTGTGGAAACAAGGATTGGTGATAAACATTCAGTGGAGACACCTTTTTCCCATGATAACTCTTACATGAGTGAATTTCCCTTCCTAGGGGTAGATTTCTTCTCACTTCCTGTTGTAATATTTACGGACATGGTAAAAATTGGCCTCTAGGTATTGATTGGTGCCCTCCTCCTGGTAACTACACGATATGCCCCCTCTCCCCACCATCCTAGTAATGACATGGCCCCTGATGGTAATGCCATATTCTTCCTCCCAGCCCCTCCCCTCTTCTGGTGCTGCTCAATTTGACACAAATAAAACCTTGGGCCCCCAGAACCTGCAGCCCCTTGGGGCCCCTCGGAAGGTGTTAAGTGATTTTCTACTAACTTTTCTGTCAGTGTTGGAAGGTGTTGTGGGGGGCAATGTGTCCGTTCCAAGCTGTCAGTGTTGCCAGCAAACATCCTAGGATGGCGGGGTACAGAGAATTCTTGTTAGGTGACAAACACTGAGTGACCTGACTGAGCAAAGAGTTGTCTGATCTCAGTTACAATGGTCCTGTCCCGGCTATCAGGCAGTGCTCTCCTCATTCTCCTGCTTCTTTCACTGTGACCAGCAGCCAAGCTCACTGTCCCCATTGTTGTCAGCTACAAAGCAGCACAGTGCCACATTTCCCTTTCCTGGGCTGCTCTCAGTCCTCCACTCCATTCCAGCGGCCTTCTCCCCAGCCAATGAGAGTGGAGGAGGGGTGTGGACTGAGGAAAAGGCAAAGTGGAAACTGAGTACTGGAGTACAGAGCTTAGCTGTGGACACAAGGCGGATTGGAGCCGGACTCTGTCTTTGTGGGGGAAATGCAGCATGCTAATATGACAGCAGGGAGCCTCCTCTTGTAAGTGTGAGTTGTTCATAAGTCATAAGTTTGCAACTCAGGGACTGTCTGTATATATTTCATCCACTGTTGATTTTTTAAACTTTTTTTAGTACACATATTATTTTGAAATATATATACACATATATATATATATATATATATATATATATATACACATACATATATACATACATACACACACACAATGTATTTTTTTCTTTTGACTATATATTTGGAATTTCCAGGCACTTATATATGAATCTTCGTATCTTTATATATTTTGATATTCTGCACCTTGTAACTTCAGTCATGCTTCAAATTATTATTTTTTTAATGCCTTTTCTATTTGGGCGACTGACTTGCACACAGTGTTGCAGTCCATCTCACTCTGCTGCTTCAGTGTAAGGAAGGTGGTGGTGGGTGGGTAATGACACAGGAGTGTTTTTGCTTTGTCAGCTAATTCCTGTTAGATGAAAACAATCACAGGCAATAAGCATATAAATTTAGCTCTCAGCATCTTCACTGTGGCTGTAAGTAGGAGCCTGGACACAGCACATAAACATACTGTACACTTCTGTGAATATTCATGTGCAGACTTCATTACGTTAGGTACAAAAACAATATACTTTCAACCTCTTAAAATGTAAAATGGAGAATTTATCACTGGTGCGGGAATCCTCTGCAAATTTGGATGTGATGATTAAGGGGTTACAGGAACAACACAACACATTATTAAAAGAAAACAATATAACAACACAATTGAAAATCCAATGAACTTCAGCCTTATTAAAGTTTTCATAGTTACCAATATTGTGAACTAGACCTGTAAATGCCTTGGGGTAAGAAGGGGGGCGCTAAAGCCAAGCAGGTAAGCTGCAGTGTTACTGTCCCCCAACCGCTCCCCTTTTAGCTGCTAAGGCAGCTGACGGGGGGTATGTAGAATGATAATCTGTTGTAATATATCCAGTGCATAGTAAAAATATTTAAATTATTTGAAAACTACAGATAAAAAAAACAGTAACGTACTGCAAGTGCTTAATATGAATGCAATTTTAATGCAATACAGTGCTAGCAGTTTTTAACCTAATGGCCACAGTTCTTGTACACGGAGATTTCCATAAATTTCTGCTGGTATAAATGAAAAAAAAAAAAATATATATATATATATACATATACTTACTAGACTGCATAGTCCTCTCTTTAACATCTGATGTCCAAGCACCCTGGCCTTGCTGAGACCGAGCTGCAAGGCGAAACAAATATTCTGTATTGGGTTTTAAACCTTCCACTAAATATGATGTTGTTGGGTCAAAAGTCTTTTTGATCTGTGAAAAAAACATTGTTCATTGATTACAGTTATTTCTTGTACATCAAACAGGAGAGAATTTATTGAACAGACTAAATATTTAATTCTTTAGCAATAACAGCAGCAAGAAGATTGCTTCAGAAATTCCATCAGATCTTAAAGTGGTTGTAAAGGCTCAAGGTTTTTTTACCATCAAGCATTCTATGCATGAAGGTAAAAAACCTTCTGTGTGCAGCAGTGCCCCCAGACCCCACTAATACTTACCTGAGCCCCATCGCGATTCATTGATGTGCACAAATCCCAGGTCTCTGCCATCTCATTTGCTGAGACAGCAAGCAGGAGCCACTGACTCTCTCTGCTGTCAATCACAGCCTGTCAGCCAAAGAGGAGAGAGAGGGGGCCAAGCCACAGTTCAGTGTTTGAATGGACACATGGAGCAGTGGCTTGGGATCACACCTGCTCAGGTGCCCCCATTACAAGCTGCTTGCTGTGGGGGCACCCGACAGAAAGGAGAAGCCAGGAGCGCCGGCAAGGGAACCGAGAAGAAGAGGATCCAGGCTGCTCTGAGCAAAACCACTGCATGCAGTAGGTAAGTATATAACAGGTTTGTTATTTAAAAAAAAAAAAAAGAACCTTTAGAATTGCTTTAATTGATTAAACATTCTAAACAAGATGACTCCTTAGCTTACAGAACAAATATGTGCACTTTAATTATTAATATGGTACGTAGCTTTAACCACTAGCCTACAGGGCACTTATACCCCCTTTCTGCCCAGGTCAATTTCCAGCTTTCAAGTGCTGTCGCACTTTGAATGACAATTGCACGGTCATGCAACACTGTAGCCATATGAAATTTTTATCATTTTTTTGAGACAGATAGAGCTTTTTTTTGGTGGTATTTAATCACCTCTGGGATTTTTATTTTTTCTTAAACAAACCAAAAACCACTGAACACGTTTTTTCTTAGTTTTTGTTATACAATTTTATAAATAAGTGATTTTTCTCCTTCACTGATGTGCGCTAATGAGGCTGCAGTGATGGGCACTGATAGGTGGCACTGATGGACACTGATAGGTGGCACTAATGGGCACTGATGAAAAGGCACTGGTAGGTTGCACTGATGGGCACTGACAGGCATCACTGATGGGCACTGAAAGGAAGCACTGATACAGGACACTGATACATGACAATGATAGGCAGCACTGATAGACACTGACAGGCGGCACTGATAGGCAGCACTGACTGGAACTGATAGGTGGCACTGACTGGCACTGATGCGCACTGATAGGCGACACTGACTGGCACTGATAGGTGGTACTGATTGGCAGCACTGATTGGCATTGATAGGTGGCACTGATGGGTGACATTGAAAGGCAGCTCAGATGGGCACTGACATGTGGCATTGATGTGCACTGGTATGTGGCACTGATGGGCACTGGCACGTGGCACTGATGAGCACTGACAGATGGCACTTCTGGGGTCACACTGATCATCAGGGCACACTGATCATCAGTGCCCTGATGATCAGTGTACATGTCCCCTCCGCGGAAAGCCGATTACCGGCTCTCCTCTCCTCTTGAGCTGTCAGCGTGACAGCTCGAGAGGAGAGAAATGCCGTTAACCAGCATTTCCGTGTTTACATGTGATCAGCTGTGAATGGACACAGCTGATCACAAGACCGAGCCAACATCTTCGGCTCTTTCCGTGATCCGGACACAGCGCACCGGCGATCGCCGCGCTGCGTGCTCCCTGAGCCGCGAATGCGCAGTGAGAATGGTAGGACGTCATATTACGTCCTATCAGAATGAGTGAACCACCTTGCGCCTGTCGTTGTACTATAGGGCGGGCGGAAGGTGGTTTAAAATATACTGGTGTTCTGTTTTTAGGTTTTAAAAACAGGCAACAGATTTAGAAAGAGCCTAAAGGCAAAACTTATAAAAGCCCATTTTTAGATTACAGGCCCTTTTGAGATAGCACAATTGTATATTAATACAAAGTATGTGGGCTGAATTCATGGTCCTGGAACACTTTTCATACATTACGTATACTATCCACATTTTTAAAAATGGCAGCACTCCAAACTTATCCACAGAAAATACTTAATTACACAGCAGAAGAGTGCAGCCTCAGAGGCTCATGAAGAGGTGCACATGGTTCGAAATGTGTTCCTGGCTGCACTTGTTCTAAGAGTGACAGCAAACATAGGTGATTCCTGACATCGCAGCTGCACTCCCCTGGGACAGACGAGCCCCAGACCTCTCACAGCAGGACCCGGCACGTTCTGCCATCTTCTGGGTTGTGTCTGATGCTGGCTATCCCCCATCCCAGGTCACTGAGTCCCAATACCACCATGCTAGTTATTCCTGCCTGCACCTTTCATGCTCTTGTGAGTGTATATTCATCTTTTTATTAAATGTATGGTTTTAATTTACTACACTATGGTGACTTTTGCACTTGTCTGTTTTTTCTCTTCCCGCGTGCACTGTAGACAGAGCTTCCCCCTTATGGGCTGCATCATCCACCTAGTTGTTATAGTAGTATACTGTATATTTTGGACACTCACTCACATCCTAATAACCTTTTTATTTTATCACGTTTTGAGTCACCCAATTTGTTTAGCAGGTTGTTGTTTACTATTACACAGCAACTATTTCCCCATCAGGACTCATCATCAGCCATTCAGGTGCGGTTTAGTTAAGCGCAGTGTCTGCAGTTAATCAGTGGAGAATTTTTCCTGTCTATGCAGATTTTTAAAAACTACAAAACCTGGCAAAGTCCTGGACCAGATGGTCTTCTCTTACAGTACTATAAGATGTTAGAAACTAACATAGCTCCATACTATTTGAAAACCTTTAATAGCTTAACCTTTTCCTGCCGGAGATATGCATATATGTGGCCTCTCAGCGGGTGGGTTTTAACGCCGAGAGGCCACATATCTGCAGTCCTATGTAAACTGTTTTCTGTGATGAGAGTGGACGCCCTGAGTGCTCCCAGTACAGATACCAGCATAGACTGGAAAGCTACAATGTATACGTGTGATTGAGAGCTTTCCGATCATGTGACTGAAAATTTACAGCGGTCACATGATCGAAATGCCCACTCCGCCTCCCAGCATTTAGCATATCTTAGAGGGGTCGGGAGGTGGCAGGAAGGGGTTAAGCAAAGGGTGTCACATTTCTCCACAGACTTTAGAGGCACATACAGTAGTTATTCATAAGAAGGGTAATGACTCACAAAACATATATATATATATATATATATACACACATACACTGTAAGTTGAGCCAGTTCTGATGATAAATTTGACTTTATGACTTCAAACTACCTTACCCAAACTACCCAAAAGCCGTTCTCCTTAGTTTTAAATTTGGAGATTCTATGGTAAACTTCCAGGGGCTATGTAGCTTTTGAGAAATCAGTTTATATTATTTTACTTTTAAATACTTTATAAAGGGGGCTTGGCTTGGCGCATGGAATTGTAGGACGTGCATTCCTGCAGCTCCCGGCCTGTGACCTTCCTGCGAGGCTTTTCACCCTCTTTGTGGCACCACCGCGAACCCCGTTATGGGCAGGAACTAGTACCGGACCCGCAGGAGAGCAGTTGGGGGTTGGTCCGATTCCGATTTGGATCGGTTCTTCGGATGGTGCCGGTTTCTCCTGATCCTTCTCCTCCGGACACAGGACCATCACCAGATGTGCAGGTGAGCTCTCACAGCCGCCACTCCTCTCCTGGGGATCCTGACCAGCTCTCCCAGAGGTCCTGCAGCCCCTCTCAGGCCTCCATCTGTTCCGGGGATGGCTGGGACTTGCAGTCCCACATCAAATCTCTTCATACATATCTTAAATCTCTTCCTAAAAAGGCCAATTTTGAGCTTTGTGTGAAACGTATTGATAATACATATAAGCAGGAGATCTTTGACCTTAAACAAGATATTTGTGTACGTATGGAAGAGATTGAAAATACAGCGGATAGCCTATGCATTGCTTTACAGTCCCATGAAGAGACCCTTAATTCTCACACGGTCCTATTACATCAACTCATGTATCAACAGGATTATATAGAGAACAGGAACCGCCGTAACAATATACGGATCAGGGGCGTGCCAGAGTCTATAGAATCTAAGGACTTTGCTGCAGCGGTTAGAGCCATCTTCAACCAGCTACTGCAACAGCCTAAGGATACTCATATTGAGCTGGACCACGCACATCGTACTCTAAGCCCCAGAAATCCTGACCCCTCCTTTGTTCGTGATATTCTATGTAGGGTTCACTATTTCAAGGTCAAAGAAATCATTATGCGTGCGGCTAGCACACAGGACACCAACCTATTCAATGAGATACGAGTGATGCTGCTCCATGACCTCTCCGGTCAGACCATAACCATGAACAGGACCCTACGCCCCCTCACTCAGCTGCTACAGGATAGACACATCCGCTATCATTGGCGGTTTCCTTTCCAACTCTGAGCTTTTCAGGATGGTAAATATGCACAGTTCCGTACCCTTGGGAACCTGCCTGCTTTCCTGAACTGCCTCAAGTGTCTCTCCCAGACTGGCCTATTCCGCTCCCAACCCCAGGACTTCCATTTACTTCACCTTGGCAGCGGTCCGAAAGGAAGAATCGTTCCAGGTTCTCCTCCCAGAAGATTCCTGATGGCTGATATTCTCTTGGTTCAGGGCGAGAGGCTCCTCGTGTATACATTTGTCTCAGTGGCTCTGAGGAAGAGGCAAGTCCTCGAAACGCGTCAGCCTTTTGGATGTCTAAACTCCCTATTGTGGACTGTTACTCAGCGCGGTGTTGATCCAGCTGTTCTTCTATGATGTGCCTTGACTATATTGTCGTTTGTGAGTACAACACCTACTTTATTTTTTATTAAACATTTTTTATGGTAATGCACTAGGCCTGTGCGCCCTCTTTTTGTTCTTTCCACATTTGTATTCCCACCTGCCTTTGCCACTGTTCTTGTTGGCTGGTTTCTGGGTTCTGCTGGTTCCTTGCTCTTATTTCACTGCATTCAAATATGTGCCTTTTAAATGTGTTTTTATGTTGTTTATTATGAGGGTTTACTATATGCATTTTGTATGAGGGGCCGCTCTCTTTTTTGGGCAACTGCCCTCGGTAGGGACCGCACCATTGTGCTGTTGACGTTCCCCACCTAGGACCCTCAGTGTACTTTTTTACCACACTGTATGTTATCTAGCTGGTTTTTCTGTCATTAAATTCTCTTTTCTAAACTCCCTTTATTTCTGGTTTCCCTTCGCCTATCCTCTGCCTATTTACCTTCGGCACTTTTCCTTTTTTTTTTTCTTCCCCCCTTTTCCCTCCTATCCCCTCTTCTCCCCCCCCCCCCCCTTTCCCTTTTTTATTATTTTTTTTTTTTCTTCTCGGAAGTCGGGAGGGACTTGTAGGGGCTCTGTTGGTGGTATATGTTTCCCTTACCTTATCTCCCATATGACAGATATGACAGGTATGACAGACACCCACTGGTTTTTTCTCTGTTAATATTCGAGGATTTAACACCCTGGGAAAACGGAGCCAGATGGTTTATCATTTTCACAAAACATGATCTGCACTTGGTAGACGTGTGGAAGGTGTGGAAGGTCCTGCACCCTTCAGATTAGGATTATAGCTATTATTCAGAGGCACATGAGTCCTATAATAGCCTTGATTATTTTTTTGTTTCACAATCCTTACTCGATTCCCCTATTTCGGCTTCCATTGGTCATTTCTTATGGTCCGATCATGCTTTTATTCATCTAATTATATATAATCTCCCCAGTCCTCTACGTCGCCCTTCCTGGCGTTTGAATGATACTTTGCTTAAAGATTCCGTATGTGTCGCGGAGGTCACGAGGGTTATACAAAACTTTGTTGTGGATCATTCCTCGGATACAAGTGGCCCCCTTAACCAGTGGGAGGCCCTTAAATGTGTTTGAACGCTATTACTCTCAACTTTATAATTTGTCCCCCGCTTCTCCAGCTGTCTCTGTGGATTCCTGCCCTCAGGCTATGACTCAATACATTGCTGAGATGGTGTTAACGGTCCTTGATGGGCAGGACTCTCTCAACATCGAGGAGCCCTTTTCTATTCCAGAGGTTCTTGAAGCAATTAAGGCCCTTAAATCTGGCAAGTTCCCGGGCCCTGATGGGTTTACCCCAAGATTCTACAAAACATTTGCCCCTCTGTTAGTCCCGATTTTGGCTCAAGCCTTTAATGCTATTGATGACTCTCATTTTACCCTCCCCGGACTTTCTTTCCGCTAATATTTTGGTTATCCCCAAACCTGGCAAAGATCCTTCTGTTTGCAGTAGTTTTTCTGCTTAACTTGGATGTTAAGCTTTTTGCGAAACTTATGGGGTTCCGCCTCTCTCCATTTCTTCTGGTGCTGATACATCACGATCAGGTCGGATTTTTTCCCGCTCGGGAAGCTAAGGACAACACTACCAAAACGATCCACCTTATTTCCTACATTAAGCAACATCGTTTGAAGGCATGCCTTCTCTCGTTTGACGCCGGGAAGGAGTTTGATCGTATTGATTGGCGTTTCCTGCGCCTTACTTTAGAGCAAATAGGTCTGGGTCCACGGTTCCTTTATCGGATTATGTCCCTGTACTCTCACCCCATGGCTTTGGTTATCGAGAACGGTACGGCCTCTTCATCCTTTTCTATCTCGAATGGTACCAGACAGGGTTGCCCTCTGTCTCCTTTACTTTTTGTCTTGGTTATGGAGCAGCTTGCGCAGGCTATACGAACCAATGGTTCTATATTAGGCATTCATACTCCTTCCACACATCATAAACTGTCTCTTTATGCAGATGATCTCCTAATTTATATGCAACAGCCTCTCATCTCTCTCCCCAGCCTGCTCCAGGAGTTCGTTTAGTAACTTTAAACTTAACATTTCCAAAACGGAGGCATTGAACATCTCTTTACCTGATTGCGTATTGTTTCAACTTCGCTCCAATTTTTAGTTTCAATGGCGCCCGCAGGCCATTCCATATCTTGGGGTTCTGATTTATTCTGATTTTATTGCTCTCTACTCGCTTAATTATCACCTCTGTAAAAGCTTTGTGGGGAGCCTCCTCTTTGCCCTGGTTTGGACGACACCCTTAAGAAACTATTATATCTTTCACAGACTATCGTGGTCTCTGTACCGAAGAGTTTCTTTCTCTCTTTGCATTCTCTATCAATCAGGTTTATTTGGCATCAAGGGTTTTCAAGATTGAAATACAAACTGCTCACCTATCGGAAGCTTAGGGGTGGAGTGGGTTTACCGATTTTGAGTTGTACTATCGGACCGCCCTGTTGGCACATATGCTTGACTGGTTCTCCAGACCTTTCCATAAAGCCTCCTGCATGGTAGAACAAGACCTATCTCAAACCGATCTTCGGGCTCTCCTCTGGGGCTATGGCCATGATTCTCATTGTCTACATGGCATGTCTCCTTTGACTTTGGCAGCTCTACGCTTGTGGTATAAACACGGTCTTCTTACCCTTTTACCCTCCGACCCTTCCCCTTTATCCCCCTATTTGATAATCCTTCCTTTCCCCAAGGGATGGGAAATTCTATCCTGGGTCCCTTTGCCAGGACCTCTTGGCCGGTGGCCCAAGACTTTATCCTCTCTCAGACGGGTCTCCCGCTCTTCCCGGGCAGCCCTAGGGATTGGTTGACTGCTTTACACTTGTCTACGTTTTGTAAACATTTACATTCCACCTCTCAAACTCACCGGCCGCTTACGGAGTTTGAGCAATTGTGCTCCCTTTCGGAACCTCCGAGACATGGCCTCTCTTTACAAAGTTTTGCATGCTGCAACTCATTCTGAACTTCACCCTAAACTAGAGAGTGGACTCGAGACATTGGCAGAGGTATATCTGCTGAGGAATGGTTTACATCGTTTCACTTCACACAGAGATTCCTCTATTTCTTGCTACTCTCAAGAAAAGAATTTTAAGCTCCTCTACGCTGGTATTAAGACCCCTATTCCCTGCAGAGGATTTTTCCATCTACGTCCAATCTTTCTTGGCGTTCTAATATGGCTGTGGGCACTCAGCTTCATATTTGGTGGGATTGTGATAAAATTCATCCCTTTTGGCACCAAGTTTTTGAAGTCTACAATAAAAATTTATGTTGAGTCCTTGACCTCTTCGCCGGAGATTGCTCTCCTCTCCATTTTACCAGGCTTCCCTGGTGGCACAGAAGAAGTGTTTATTACGTTTCATCCTTTCTGCAGCTCGTCAATTGAAACCTCTTTTTTGGAAAATGGCCACCCCCCCACCCTACCGCTGTGGGTTTCTGTGATTAATGATAACATGCGAATGGAAGAGATGTTGGCATTTGTCAATGATACCTGTGAAAAACATAAATTATTATGGTTAGTCTGGCTCCATTTTTCCTCCTCCTCGACCCTTCGAGACTTGTGTGCGCCTGCTATGCCGCCTTAGACCTTATCTGTTTGGTCTACGTGACTCACGGCTGTCTGCCTTGTATTGGTGTATTTGCTTTTGATTTTTGACATTGGATTGCCCCCCTAGGGCCCCTTTTGGAGTTGTTCCACTATGGATTCGCCTCCTTGTCTTCCCAGGCTCCCGACTCTTCCTCTTTTCTTTTTTCCTGTGCTTCTTTCTTCCCCTCTTTCCCCTTGGGTTATTTTTTTTAATTTTATTTGGTGGATTTCCACTCGGATATATATTGCTGCTCCTCATGCCCCTTTTTTGGAACAGATTCTCCAGATATATGTCTTAGGGGATTTCATGTTATTTATCCAGGCCTACCTAACTTGACTGTTGAAGTTCACGGAATTTTATATTATCCCTTTTGTCTCATCTCCTCGATGAGCCTACTGATTGTTTACATGCATATGTAATCGCTGGTTCCCCTTGTTTTTCTTTTCTCTATACTATTTTGTAAAACTTTATATAAGACAAATATGCCTTTAAATTCTTAAGAAAATAAATATTACCAGAGCAAGTACCATGATCTCTGTGACAGGAGATACATAACCACAAGTGTGGAACTTACACATTACATTGCATACATGCACTAAACATGATAAAGTATATCTGAGCTTCAGTTCAGTTTAACCGCTTGTAGCTGATAAATATTTTTTTGTAAATAACATTTTTTGCTTGCATTTATGGTAGAAATGATTGATCATACTAATGAAGCTTCATACAGAAAGGGCAGATTTGTCACTCATACTATTAGTGTGTGTAAAAGCATAACAACAAACACAATTTAGTACATACTATTTATTAGTAATATATACCTGCTGCATTCCTACTGTAGAATGTGCACTTATATTTTCTGAAATGGACACCTGCTGTATCTAAATGCAATGCATGCAGTTCTTAAAGCCATTCTTTACCTACCTCAGGCCCTTTCTCGCCTTCTTTGTAAATCACTTCATACTTTACAATACTGTCCTGGCGTGGAGGACTCCAGGTGAGACTAATGCTAGTTTCTGATTTGGCTTCAGCTCTGAAATTCATTGGCTGTCCAGGAACTACATAAAGAAAAAAAATAAACGAAAGTTAACATGCAATCAAATGTTTTCCTATTTTACTATTGTACCAAGGGTATATTATAGTTGTGGTATCACTTCCTGTCCTGGTGTCATTGTCCTGGTAATTGTGACCAAAGAAAGGAAGGGTTTGAAAATCTCAAATCGGGATACAGACAGCAATTTCAAGCAAACTAGGGTTTTATAAAAAAAAAAAAAACAAAGCATTTTTGTTGCCAACCATTGTGGTTTTCTCTAACTTTTTTTACTAGTGACAATTATGTAGTCCAATGGCGGAAAACAGAGCAGAAGTTGTTTGTATGAAAATAGAGAAGATAACATGAGTCATGGTGTCTTGATAATAGCAAGCTCGCTACTATCGTTACAATAGTGCTGTGCAGAAATACATTGTAAAAACAAAATTACATTGTAATCAGCTGCTCCTGATCGCTGCAGCTAATACATAAGAAACTTTTTACATTGTAGTTAGTACTTTGTAAAAACACACTGAGACATGGTGAACAGTGCAGAAAGAGCCACTGACAGGGGTTCTGTTTATGCTGATGTAACCGTAATGTAGTAAGCTGATGTATCAGCTAGTATATTTGCAAATGTGGACCTGTATGATGGGCGGCACTGGAAGGTGTGGTATGCCTTGAACATTTAAAGTATAACTAAACTTATTTTTTTTGGACAGAGTGTAGGGGAGTTAGAACCCCTGTCAGGAAGTGTCTGTGCCCTCGTTAGCGAGATGCACCCTCTCCATCTGTCCTGTTTACAACCATTATCATCGAGAACGTGAAAGTAAAAGAAAATTCATACATTTGGGTTGTCCCTAGAACAGTAATAGGTGGGGAAACGTTCTTATAGGGATACTAGTTCTAGTTACCCTGGAGACAACCAGAGATTCTCTCATTGTGGGGGGGGGGGGGGGGGGGGGGGGGGCAAATTTTCTCTCACTTCCTGTTTTGGCTATGGGGACAGTACGCCCTGGTTCACACTGTGTGGGCTGGTTGCAGCATGGTGTGGGAATCTCACAGCTGTTGCTACGCACCCACAGCCAAATCGCATAGGGACTGCTCATTTATGAGACACACGGGCCCTGCAACTAAAATGACATTCATTCTGAATGGCCACACCCCAAAGGCATCTCAGCCTACAACACATTTGCGGGGGTACAAGAACCCACAGGGAAATTGCATGGTCAAAAATGGTGACCATGAGGTCCTGCAGCATGGCACGCACAAGTGTTAACCAGGAGTTATAAACCCTCACTTCTCTCTCCCAAAACAAAAAAATAGCTTTTTAGTTTCTACTGTACCTAAAGGTCCTACAGGCAAATGTAATATGGTTCAAGATCTGTATATGGTTTAAATAGAGGTTGAAAAGAACATGACTGTGAATGGTGAATTCAGCTTGAAAATACCTGCAATGTATTTTAACATGTTTAAAGGAAACATTCAAATGAATGTCATGGACCTTTGTCATTAACAAAGAACGGTAATGGTGGAAACAGCTCTAACACTGAAGCCAAACCTACCACTGGGCGTGAAGTACCTGTTAAACTCAAAGCATACTTTTTCAGCATGAACTGTTTATAATCTGCACCCCTTTGCAACATATATATTAAATGGACCAAAATATCCGCAGTAAGTCTGCTAAAGGGAGACTTCTCTTCTATTCCCCAGGAAAAAACCTTTTTTTTTCAATTAAAATAATAAACACATTCTACTTACCTGCTCTGTGATATTGCACACAGTAGCCCTTAAAACTTTGTCTTCTGGGCGCCTGGTGCTCTTGCTGCATTCTCTTCTGTGTGTGCCCCCGTAGCAAGCCCCTTGCTACGGAAGCACACCTGCGGGCTCGCATCCAAGCCAGGTTTTATGTGCCCATAGACACACACAGTGAGTGACTCAGCCCTGACCGTCTCTCACCAGAATTTGATTAACAACCACCGAAGGCTCCCGCTGCTGCCTCTGTGTCCTGTGAGGAGAGGAATCACAGACCAGCGAAGTGCATATTGGGCAGCACTGGACTGAGACAGGACTCAGGTATGTATAATGACATACATTTACATGTGGTTTGATGCGGTTTAATTTATAGGAACAGAAAAATGCATTAGGCAAATTGAAAAGCATTACACCTCTAGAAAATCTTATTTTGGAGACAGTATCTGCAACTCTTGGTAAAACTGATCAAGACCTTAATTCATACAAATCCCGGGAGAGTGGATTTTAAAATATGCTTTCATCGCTATTCATATTTGTTCCCATACAACACACAGCTAAAATGAGTCTTTATTTTGAAGTTACAGAAAAACATTTCCTATGCAACCAAAAAGTTGATAGCAGTTCAATTTTAAATACATTATAATGTAACTAATATTTGAAAACTGCCACTCACCTCCTTGCTGAGTTTTCACTTGGATGGGATCAGAAAGTGGGCCATCACCAACAGATGTAAAAGCCAAGACTCTGACAGTATAGGTTTCATGTTCCAGTAAATTTCCTATAGTGGTTAAAAGATTATCATCCACATTATATTTTAACCAGTTGCTGACTGGCTGGTCAGGCTCCATAGTGTAGTAAACACGATATCCCCGTATTTGCCCATTTGGTTCCACGGGTTCTTCCCATTGAATTATCATTGTAGTAGAGGTAAGCATCCGAGCCTGTACATTTCGAGGGGCACTAGCAGGGGCCTGCTCTCCAGTCCGTGTCACTACAGGTTCACTGGGTGGTCCTTGGCCGATTGAGTTAACTGCTGACACCCCAGATCTCATATTCAGAATTAGGACTGAGTCCACCAATGCTGTATCTTGTAGTTGTGATATCCTCCTTTATTTGATATGGCCCATCCTGCGTTTTAGATTTGTATTCTATAACATAGTAAGACACAGGATCGGGATTGCCAGAGTCCCATGTAATTGTTATACTCGTAGCTGTGGTCTCTGTTACAACGGGGAGTTCCAGGTGCCTTAGGAAGGGCTACAAATTGGGTAAACGAAACACATAAGAGAAGAAAAATATGTCAAAAAAAATATTTAAAAAAAACAAAAAAAAATCTTCAAAACAATAAATTCACAGCTGATTCAGAGCAAGGTAAAATCCTTTTAAAGCATGGTTCAAAAAGGTTCTTCAGCCCTGGTTCACACCGATGCGGTGTGGAATTCACACCGGTTTCTGTGCGATTTCCGCACTGCATCATAATCGCACCCCATTCATACGAACCGCTGAGGCTGTGTATTTGAAGTTAGCAAAACCCCAAAATCGGTTCGCAAAAAATGCGGTGTGATGTGTAGAATCCAATTGCATGGGTGTGAACACCCATGTGATTTGATTCTGATGCGGACAAAAAAAAAGGGTCCTGCAATATTTTGGTGCAGATGCGGTGCAATTTGAGCAATACAATATTTATGGCTTAAATTGCACCACACAAAAATCGCATGTGATTTGCACAGGAATGCAGTGCGGTTCCTGTGCGAATCACATGTGATGTGCCACACCACATCAGTGTGAACCAGGGCTCAAGAATAATAATCATGATCCTTCATATAACTCACTGTTCAGGGATTCACAGCCCTCACTCAGCTCATTGACTTATACAAGAGAGTCAAGCATTTGACATCTAAATTTATACACAAAGACCTCAGGGTGGTCAGTTGTTCAGACGATATTACTGAAAAACAGAAGGTCTTGTAAAATGTTCTTATGGATGGTGGACAGCAGCAAGTCACAATGGTGTTCGATTATCTTGGGGTAAAGGGGGTGGGGTTAATGGAGAGAATCAACCATAGCCAGATGCTGTTTCTCTTTGAGATTGGTCAGCAATGGATAGCTGTAGATTTTGCCTATGTCTGAAGAATGAGTACATACTTGAATCCAGAAAAGAGAGGGGGGAGGGAGTGGGAGGCAGACTTTTGAGGTACCCAGACACAACTTACTTTAGTCTAAAACCATTTTATTACTATAATGTAAAACAATGAATGATTTACTTTAAATATTTACTGTACATCCAAGTACAATCACTGTGATTTCTCAGTCACATATTTGTTCATATCCAGGACCAATTAGCATTTTACAGTATAGATCACTTAATTTTCTATAAATCAAGATTTCATTAGATGATAACATTTTCCATCACTAATAGCTAGGTAGTGGACTGAAGATTGCAAACTTAAAACCAATTTGAGATGAACTCAGCTTTTTCAGAAGAGTAATTGAGGCTATGTTTGTGTGATCACAAACCCGTAAAAGCTCATAAAAATATTCTAGGGGACAAGCACAGGGACACAAAAGAGAAGGACCCCGGGAAGTCCTAGCAAGCCAGAGATTCATGCAATTCTAAGGCCTCATGCACATTGGGCGTTTTTACAGCTGCTGTTCTGGGTGTCAGGTGTTTTTTTCTACAGCCAATAAACTCCCCAGCATGCTATCCTATGTGTTCATGCACACATATGCTTTTATCAGCATTTTTCGGCAGGGGCATTTTCAGGCTGGAAAAAAAAACGCAGAACTACTGAATTTGAAGATGGGTTTTTTCAGCTGTAAAATCACTCTAAGACTGCAAAGCGCTGCAAAACACGACTATCCGGCATGCCATTCACATGCAATTGCTAGTTTGAATGGGCCCTAAGAGCGAGATCTCTGTAAGTGGAAACAGTTCAGGTTTTATCCTGGAAAAAAATCCGTAGCCAGTTAAAATTTCTGTGTGTGTGTGCGTGCGTGCGTGCGTGCGTGCGCGCGTGCGTGCGCATATAACAGGATTGTTTGACTTAACTTCTTGGTGCTCATTAGGTGACACAGGGTTGTGATGATTCCTACAGGAGAATGGACACTGGCAAACAAAGTTGAAAGAGAGCAAGGTATAACTTCTGCAACTTCAGTAATACTACAGTTTTATGTAAAAGCAATATTGATAGTGGGTCAAAAGAACAGATGAAGTGAAGTCATCTTGGCTTGACCAATCAAAACAGTCAAAGATCAAAATCTGCAATATGACATTGCAATCTATAGAATCTATAGAACAATTTATTGGGGACCAAAAAAAAAAAACATTACAATTGTTCATCATGGGACAGGGTAGCAGTAATTCTGACACTGGAATGTCTAAAAACAGTCCAGCTGTGGCGTGGACAATACAGCAAACAAAATGACCGTAAGTTAAAAATAACAGAGGGGCTCAATAAGGAAGAATCATAAGACCAAAGCTGGCATCAGATGAGACCAGAACATCCCCCTGGTACAACAAACATGTGAACAGAAAACCAGGTGGCAGGCTTGCAAATCTGTGACACAGATGTCTGATACCAAAATGCCCATGAAGCACTAACTGACCTAGTAGAATGCGCGTTGACAGGAAAGGGAGGAACCTTGTCCATGAGTCTAAAGGCTTGAATGATGAGCTGATGAATCCACCTAGAGAAGTAGACAATCCCTTACGAGGACCCTCAGAAAAAAAAACAAGAGTCAGTCCATCTAAAGAGACCTAGCTCAGGGAGAGACTCAAATGGCACAAAGTGATCTCTCTGAGCAGGACAGAGAGAAGGTACAACAATGTCGTGGTAAAGGTGAAGGAAAGAAGCCACCATGGAAAAGAGACCTGAGGCTTCAAGACAACCTTGCCCTGTGTAGCAAAAGCAAGGGTTCGTTATTAGTTAAAGCCATCAATCCAGAAACTCATCTTGCATGGGCAATGGGATCAAGGAAGGCAACCTTGTGAATAAAAGTAGATATAGGAATATACCTAATAGATTCAAAGTGTGGTTGTTGAAGGACCAATAGAACCAGGCTGAGATCCCACTGCATCACTGGGGGCAATGTCTGTGACATCCTGTATGAAGGCTTTCACTAAGGAGTGAGAGGCAAGAGGTCTCTGAAAGAGAATTGATAGGGCTGTAATATGAAGGTTAATGGTACTCAGATCAAAAGACATGATTCATCCCACATAGTACTGCCTGGGATGGAAGCTCCTTGCTTCGCAAGAAATAAGAAATAGGCTTTCCAGGTACAATGGTAGACTTTGCAAATGGATTTCCTAACTTTGAGAAGCACAGGGACAACAGATTCAGGTAAGCCCCTGTCATTTAGGACTTAGGCTTCAACAGCCAAGTCAATATAGTCAGTAACAGTTATTCAGGGTGGTACACAGGTTCTTGGGACAGAAAATGCCAGAAATTTAGGGAGCCCACAAGGAGTCCCCCAGGAGTCTGATGCTGCATCAAGGAAATGTACTCCAACCCAGGGTTTCAAAGGTGGAATTGCAAAATTTAGGTTAAACTGATCTTACAAAATCACCAGAGATGTCATTACCATAGCAAGAGTGACCCGAACCTGAACACAAATGTTTACTGTGCCAGAGCAGTGTTTAGGTCTGCTAGTTTTTGAAGAGATGCTGTCAGGTTTGAAAATATGAAGCACAGTGGAGGCAGAATTTGAAATTCTACTTTGTAGCCACAAAGACTAAACGATGTCCCCAACACTCTGATAAGCGGGGATGTCACCTCATTGTTAGGACTTTTTCGCTGGTTTGGAAAATTTGGAAGTCCAAGAACTTGCAATAGAATCGAGCTCCAGACTTAAAGTGATACTAAACTCATGACATTGAATCAACAATACAAGGTCTCCCACAGTACATGGTAATGCATTTATTTTAGCAAAGTGCAACAGCTAAATAGCTTTTCTTAGCAGCAGTATACAGCGGTCATGTGACTGGTTTCTGTCTCCCCCTGAGCGCTGGTTCAGTTTCTATGGGGAGTTTTCATTCTTCTCTGAGCTTCCTCTGTACATCAGCAGAGGCAGCATGACTCATGACTCTCTCTGTCTGGACATTGCTGGTAGGATCACATCACATGCACCCTCCACTAAAGCCTGTGTCCACAAGCTTTTATGGGGGTGCTGCCTCCATTAATCAAAATATGACATCTCACCCACTGTGCACTTTTTAAGTTACTGGGCATGAAGGAGGGAGGTACTGGGCTGTTAATTATGATCTGTATACAGTCAGGTCCATAAATATTGGGACATCGACACAATTCTAACATTTTTGGCTCTATACACCACCACAATGGATTTGAAATGAAACAAACAAGATGTGCTTTAACTGCAGACTGTCAGCTTTAATTTGAGGATATTTACATTCAAATCAGGTGAACAGTGTAGGAATTACAACAGTTTGCATATGTGCCTCCCACTTGTTAAGGGACCAAAAGTAATGGGACAGAATAATAATCATAAATCAAACTTTCACTTTTTAATACTTGGTTGCAAATCCTTTGCAGTCAATTACAGCCTGAAGTATGGAACGCATAGACATCACCAGACGCTGGGTTTCATCCCTGGTGATGCTCTGCCAGGCCTCTACTGCAACTGTCTTCAGTTCCTGCTTGTTCTTGGGGCATTTTCCCTTCAGTTTTGTCTTCAGCAAGTGAAATACATGCTCAATCGGATTCAGGTCAGGTGATTGACTTGGCCATTGCATAACATTCCACTTCTTTCCCTTAAAAAACTCTTTGGTTGCTTTTGCAGTATGCTTTGGGTCATTGTCTATCTGCACTGTGAAGCGGCGTCCAATGAGTTCTGAAGCATTTGGTGGAATATGAGCAGATAATATTGCCTGAAACACTTCAGAATTCATCCTGCTGCTTTTGTCAGCAGTCACATCATCAATAAATACAAGAGAACAGTTCCATTGGCAGCCATACATGCCCACGCCATGACAACCTACCACCACCATGCTTCACTGATGAGGTGGTATGCTTAAGATCATGAGCAGTTTTCCTTTCCTTCTCCATACTCTTCTCTTCCCATCACTCTGGTACAAGTTGATCTTGGTCTCATCTGTCCATAGGATGTTGTTCCAGAACTGTGAAGGCTTTTTTAGATGTCGTTTGGCAAACTCTAATCTGGCCTTCATGTTTTTGAGGCTCACCAATGGTTTACAGCTTGTGGTGAACCCTCTGTATTCACTCTGGCCAACTGTTGTGAAG